TTAATAAGGTTATAAAAAATTTTGTTTGGGATAAATAAAGTTTGGGAAAGAAAATTTCAGAACATTGAATAAGTGAATAGAACTCTTGGAGTTAACGAACATTAGATGTTTATTTAATGAAGCAACTGTAAACAGGTTTTTCATTGAGATCATGAAGCGATTGATGTTAGACCACCACTAAAAACCTGGAAGCACTGGTCGGGCGTTTTGTCCTATTGTGGGACTTCTCAGCAATGTGTTATCCACAATCCCGCTCGCGGGTTTCGAAGTCAGGGATATTAACACCGTTGAATACCAGCTCAGTGGTTTAGTTGTTAAGCACTTGCGCACGAGACTGGTATGTCATGGGTTCGAATCTCGCGAGGCGGCCTCGTGGATGCGCACAGCTGAGGGCTCCCATATTGGAACGAAACGATCGTCCAGTGCCTTCAGGTTTTCAATAGTGGTCTGACATCAATCAGTTTATGATCTCAATCGAAAACTTAATATTCTGCACAACCCCATACTGATGAAAAAAACAGATTAATGGTAGTAAATATATGAATTGGAATCAGCAAGAAAAATGACAATGATGTAATTAAACTTCAGAGAAAGAGGATACATATTATTATGTACCAATCTTCCTTCCGCAAGAAATTTCTCAAAATACATCTCCTTGTACAATCATTCAAATCACTGCATCACCTGGTATTAATTTTCTGTTGTTTCTTTTCCATACCAACTTTAAGATATATTGTTGATGAAATTAATAATGGACATAAAAGATAGTATCATTAGCGTAATATATATATATATATATACATCAAGGCAACATAAATTATATAAATATCCCATGAGAAATCATATAAAAACTGAGAAAACAAATGTATTATGCAATAAATCTAAATTATTGTTCAATATTCATTTATTTTAAACAATATTCATTATTTTCCTTTTTTTACATCATTTGCATTCAATCAAAAATTAAATAAAATTTAGTGATTGATGAATGAAGTCCCTTTTTCTCTTTGTTTATTGTATGTATCTATTTCACCAATGATGAACTTGATTTTCTTCTATAAAAAAGACAATTTTATTATTTTTTTGATGTAATTAAATTAAAATTCACTTAGATATTATTACTTATTATGAAATAATGTAAACACCACTTAAAATTACAGTAACCGTTGATTATTCTATTATTTGAAGGATTACAATCAAGTTTATGAAGTCTATGGTAATATTTTGCATAATAATACATCCACTTTTATTAATAATCATTGACCAAGTTCATTTCATAATTGTATTAATCCATCATTGCTTGCAAATAGCTTGTGGATTAAGGTAATATCGAGGCATACGCACAGTATCCACATATGCCAATAACAGACTGATCAATTGCAGTCTTAAACTTCAATGGGAAGATACAAGCCAAACAATACCAAGTGAATTCATACATGATTATTCGATAATTTTGTTGTTTGATTATATTTTCGTTGAAAAAGCTTGAACTACATTGCCAGGTGAAACGTTGGACTTACTTCAAATTCCTTCGATGAGATTTTACAAATACTTTATTTCACTTTAGTGACTCACATTAACTCGGCGCATAAATATTGTGAAACTATTCGTTCAAATTTAGACGAAAGTTTTTATTTATAGTAAATATAGTTAGAAGAATATTAAAAGTTACGTAGAATGATATAATCTGTAGGAAACTGATTGTTTATATGGATGTTTTTCAAAATCAACGATAGTTCTAAACAGTTTTTATCTCATTATATGTGAAAATTATATTTGAAATAATTTCAGTGATTGAAATTTAAATAATTCCAAGGTTTCGTCCAGTTAACTTGTCTGGACTTCTTCAAGGTAATGATTGAAAACAAAGTTATTATCTCACTTATATGTTTTTTCTTGATTTATTCTTAGGTAGTCTTTTGTATGTAATATGAAAAAGGTAGAAAGGTACTCCATTGAAGATTCATTATTTCTAAAGTATATGTAATATTATTATGTTATCCTCTAATAGAAAAACGTTCTATTTTAATTTTCATCTTTTACTTTTTCATACTCATAATGATAGTCAATTGTGAACAGTTTCGAAAAAAACTACATATATTTTTTACGTAGAATAATAGCAACTTTCTCTAAGAAGGTATTCGTAGTCCTTGTGTTTCATCAGTACAACTTTTTATCTGTATTTAGGAAACATTGTCATTTTGTCACCTTTTATGCATTATTATTGTATATTTGCAGACAAAGGAAATGGCTTTTTATTTCATCTTATGATAAAGTAAAGATTATCTATAATAAGTTTCATCAAATGTATTATTCGATTTTCAAAATAATATCGACTTTAATAAACCTCAGAATGTATTCTTTATAGGTTCCTTCATTTAATCTAATTTATGCTAAATAATTGCAAAACAACGTTTATGCTGCATTTGTTCGTATTATTAATGCTATTAGTCTGATATCTATTTACCGAAGAAAACTAGAATATACATAAAATGTTACTTATATACATATATTGTCCTCACTTTAAGACATGAACTTACTAAGTTGTATGTAAAATCATGAAAAAACACTGTTAGAAAGTTCCAAACAGAGATAAAATTATTCGGACCTTCGATTTTTTTTCCCAACCTATATTAATTCCCAATAATAAATCCCATAATTACAGAATAATTGAAAAATTATATAATGATAATTTATTACTTGATAATATTCCTACCAAATAAAAACACTAAAATTTTCAAAATTCTATTAGAGAGACAGTGAGAAGTTTACGTTACCAAATCCATTTTTTTTGGTTTTTCGAAAAAAAAACTACTTTCAAGTAGTTTTTTTCCCCTTAACTTATCTTTCATTTATTTCTCTCACTAAATGTGATTTAATCTGTTTTCTATGATTATTTTTCGCTCACTTATTTTTTAGAATATAAATAATAAGTAAGAAATTGGAAACATAAATGATTGTAAATAATCTTTCTAATTTTGAAGTTGTTTTATTTTTTACTTTTTAGTAAACAAATCAGAAATTCTTTGCTTTTTTTTCTCTCTTTTCTTTGTAAAATTATTATTTAGATATTATATTTCTATTATTGTATTCATTTGAATATATTGACAAATCTACCCTATAAGTTATTTATATGTTTACAAACTTGATTATCTTATCTGACCCATCTATTCATTTATCAGTTGTCTTTGAAAAAAAAAGAAAAAAGAATGAAATTAAATAAACAATTTATCGACAACTGATTGATGATTTATGCGCCGTGTTATTATCGTTATTATTCGGTTAAGATCTACCCCCCCCCCTCTTTTTTTCAGAGAAAAGAGGAGGATTATAAATATCCAAAGTAAAACATTGGTCAGTAATTATAAGTGCGTCCATCTAATGAATTTATCTAATAATATTAAAAATATATATATTATGTATTTTCATATTTGTATCGTCCATTTTAATCCAAAAAATCAATAGGAACTCAATTCAAACCTATGAACAATGTGGTAAACAAAATCTTGGTGAAAAAGAAAAAAGAAAACATTATTAATCAAGTTGATTTATGCATACCTTATGTGGTTTGATCGCTTTGTTTTGATTAGGCTCTTCGTGTCATATGAAAAACAGATACGAAATATATATAATTTAAACGGGCGTATTAGTCGACGGAATTATTTCCAATTATCATGATTTATACAGTCGAATCATGATAAAATTTGGAGACAAATTCATTATATTACTTAAATCCTTTAAACATATTGTTCATAAAGTTTGTATGACAGTTCATCAAATATAACAATTAGATATATACTCTGTTTTAAGTAATGGTAATACAATATGGCATGTTACATTGATTTATTAACTAAGGCGAAATAAATTGTTTACGTTGAAACTTTTCGAGAATTATGATTATTGCAAACTTGTATATTTATTTTAAATAATTTTGTTTGGAACATTGAACGAAATGAATTTCAGTATTTAAAATATATTTATAAATCACATGTATCACACTCATTTAGAAAATGTTGAGTACTACAGATAGTTTCTCGTTATGTTTATTTATGAATCACAGTTTCATTGATTCGCCTGACTGATCGATTGGTTCATACTTTAAAATGTTCAACCTAAGAAATGTTCTTGAGGTAGCTAAAAACATCATTCTAAGCAAATATGAATCCCAAGTAAATGACTAAAATTTTTCAGATGTAGTAAATGGTATTATTTCAATGTCAGTTAACTTATTAAGTGTTAATCTTTAATGATCGTACTCTATCTACATAAATTTAGATAAATAACATTTAACTTATTACAAAACATTCTTAATTGTTCTAATTTATATAATTTATGAAGTTAAACTTCTGTCTTGATGTCAAATATTTTTTTATCTATTTTCGTCTAAACAATGGAAAATAAAGTCTAACACTCCTTCTTAGTTAGCAGTCTAAACTATTCTCCATTTGATAACAAAAACTTCTAATCAAGAAGAAGCAGCACCTGTAAGAGAATCGAATTCTTAGTGATCCTCTGACTGTTAGTATTCCGCATTCAATTAACATTTCTGTGAACTTGACATAAATGTGAAACACGGAATCGTAACGAAATGTATAGTAAAGGAGAAACTTTTATGAGGATAAGTGCTTGTTTTGTTACTGTCATTAGGTTAATGAAAAATAAAATCTATAAATTTTCTTATTTAAGTGAAATGAAAATACTGAGCCTGATATTTGAGTGAGTAAGTAAGTAAGTAAGATATTTGAGTGCTTGGAGGTATCAGCTGTTAGGCATCTCCTAGCTAAAGAACAACAATTTTTTATGAATCTTGGTCTATAAAAATGTACTGAACTATTTCAGCTCATGGTAGCTGATTAGAGAACTAGCATTTTTGTTGACAATATTGACTTCATAGATTTAAATGTTCATTTGCTAGCTAGGTTCCTAGTTTTATAACTATATGACTACAGATGACTTGTTGATAACGTGAATAAATTCCTTTATTTCTTTTTTTCAAAAAGTTACAATATCATCTCCAACCTTGATTACTATTGGATCTGCATTTAATCTCACCTGTTCGGTGTACGTTACGAAAGATAAATCAGTCAATATAGCAATAGACTGGTTCCGACCAACTTATTTAATTGAAACATCTTCAATTCGACCTACGATATTAGTTAATCCACAAGTACTAAACAACATTTTATCTATGCAATCAGATTTAAACTCACACAATTCAAAGTACAGTAATATCAGTGATATAGTTGGTGAACTTGCTTATTCATTTCAACAAATCACCAGCAGATCATCAGTCGGGATAACTATTTATAAACAAGTTACCGGTGAATTAAATTATAACTATCGTAGTGAAGTACTTCTTACTGTACAGTCAGCCAGAGAAAATGATGGTGGTATTTATGAATGTAGAGTTTATGAAGCAGCAAATTATGGGCAAGAAAAAATCATAGACAGAGCATTTTTAGATATTATCAGTAAGTCAATTGTTTATATATTATTTAGCCCTATTTAGGCTAGTTTTGTTAGTTCTATAACCATACATATTTAAGTAGTAACTTTTTAAAATCATGTCCCAAGTGATATTTTTTCATACGAAATATGAACATGAAAGATACCTTCAACTGAGGAAGTTCGGTTGGCTAACTTACTTAACGACAATATGATTATTTACCTACTTACAACATATATTCTCTCCCTATATATAATCATGCTACATCTCTCATTAGCTAATACGTAATTTTTATGCTTTATCTGTGTAATTAAACTACATGTGTTGTACAGTGAACATTTTAAAACGTTTTTAACTATTGCTTAACATGCATTTCTCTTTTCAAAATGAAATATATCCACCTTACTTTCTCCACTAATGTAATTAACTTTACTCAAAACATTGTGCTTATTTATTCGGTGACAAAAGGAATAATTACATCTCAAAACTAATTACCAAAGACAATATTAGCTTTTGTTGATGTTAATCTCTTTGATAAAACATGCATATTGGTTAATTTAATCCTCTGAGAATCATGACGCAATACACAAATTAATGCACCACTTAGTTTAACTTGGTTGTTAAAAACAATATTAAAACGTATAAAATCACTAGGGAAAACAATAGTAAAGGTAAATGTAGAGAGATGAATCCAGCCATTGTTGTCTTTCTTTGGCACTGTAAAAAGTGAAAACCATCAAACCCTCTTATTATATAACACTACACTAATTAGACGATAAAAGTAATCATCACCTACAAACTCCACTTAGTCCTTATGCCTAATATAACGAGATTCATTACAAATTCGACGAAAGATGTCACAGAACAGAAAAGTTCCACGTTTCCATGTCTTTTTCAAAGAAAAAAGACTAAATGCAAACAAAAAATAATTATATCGCATCCTTGAAATACTTATATCATTATGATACATTCGTTTAAATTTTTATACCTAAATAAAAAGTAATTTTAATTTCTTTGAAGAACTACATAGTCTAATTAAAATAATCCAGTGTCATTGAATGAGAAAAAGAGAATTCAGCGAAGAAAATTTTTTTTTCGACGAAATCATTTACTTAGGCTGTACATTCGTAAATATAGTTATATATGGTCTTTGTATTCATCACACCAACATCTTCATTTCAACAGATTTTGATGATTAAAATGATGTGACTAGATAGTGCTTTGTTTATAGTTTAGACAGGTTTATATACATTCCAAAAATTCTGAAATATTATCAATAACTGGATTAGTATTTTAGAAATTACTAAATCTCTTTTCAGGTTTCTTATTTTACCGTGTTAACTGAATAAAATATCTCAGTTTTTTTACAACATCGTTATAATTCTTAATATGGTAGCTCCAAACACACTTGTTAGTGAAAACTATCCTCGTACCTATTTAGTTTACTCACTACTTGAACTAGAGTAAACGTCTACACTTAATGAGTTTAAAAATAATGACAGTTTACAATCATTATTCTTTAGTGATTACATGACCACTAGTTAATTAAGTAGCTTTGGATTTGCTAGCAAAAGTCTTGATAAGAATCCGAGACCAATATTCTCAACTAAGTGAGCATGATAAAAGTTATCTACCGATGACATAACATTATTGTTAAGCAGTATCAAGGTTTCATCAACGTTGGTAATGTCAACCACCAGAATGAAACTTATTAAATAATTTAGTGGGTAAAATAAAAATGAGTTACAGTGGATAGCACGTTAAGCGCTTGATGGTCACCTCTGACAAGTTTTAAACAACAAAGAAATAATTTTTCAGTGCTCTTTGTTATATACTGGCTTTTTTGACTTACATCAATGATTGGTATTAGTACTTCTCAAATAAATAAAATTTTGCGAAATCTCAATTCATATAATTTTTCAAAGATTTTCACAGTAGTAAACGTATTAATGAATATCATTCGCACTAAATAAAATACACTGCTGAGGAGTCCCACAATAAAACGAAACGGCCGTCCAGTGCTTCCAGGTTTTCCATGGTGGTCTAGCTTCAATTGACTTATGATTTCAACTTGTGAAATTTCTAAAAATCTCCACAAAACCCATTCTGATAAAAATACCTTTAGATGAATCCACTACATTGTAAGTATTTTGGAAAGGTTAATAATGATGATGAAGAAATATAAAGAAAGATAATGTAATTATTATTATTAATGGCTGAATTCATGAGTCAACTAAAGCTAGACCACCATGGAAAACCTGGAAGCATTGGATGGACGTTTCGTCCTAGTATGGGGCTCATCAGTAGTGCGCCCTCATGATCCTGCCCGCAGGGTTCAAACCCAGGACATCAGGTCTCGCGCATGAATGCTTGAGCTCTAGACAACTGAGCCGTCATCCAGCGGTATTGATGCGCACTGCTGAGGAGTCCCGTACTAGAACAAAACGGCCGTCTAGCGCTTCCAGGTTTTCCATGGTGGTCTAGCTTTAACCTACTCATGAATTCAACTATTAAATTACTATAATCTCCACAAAGTCCACTTTTATCTACATTACTTCGTTATTCATAATTGTAGTCAAAAATGTAAGTTAATAACACATATTGGACTGTAAAGTTTCTAAATGTCAAACATGGAAACGATTACGTCAACTGCTCATTCCCTGTTATTTATTAAATATTCACTCCCAATCGCTTATTAAAGAGATTTATTTAATAACTATCTAATAATAATGTATAATCATTTTTGAAAAATGTCAAATTATATAAATGTTCATATCTAGTACATGTGGATTTACATCATGTTTCATAGCAGTCGTAACATGGTTAAGTGAAAAAAATTATACTGAAAATAATTGACTAGTTCTTACTAGTTGCTATATAAACTAATACGGTCAAAGTTCATCATTCACTTAAGAGGATAAGTACTTTTTAGAAAGGTTAAAATAGTGCTTTTAATGACATCATAGCTTCGCAAAGTTCTGTGAAAAATGTTAAGATTCTCTTGTCATTTTAGTTTATCAGGGTTGTGAAATTATTCTTGCTAGTAACTTTCATCAAAAATGAAAGTTAGGAACTCATGCTAACTGATAATTTAGTAAAAAAATTTTATCATCAATTCTGATTTAAATTTCATTCGCTAAATGGTCTTTAGTCTGAGTAAATTCAAATAATAGCCCACCATGGTTGCTTTAGAGTGGTTAGAAGCAATCTTTTCATCTATATTTTGTATTAACTATTACTTATCAACAAAATCATCTGTAAGTTTTAAAAAACTAACGTTCCTCATGAGATTCATTTTCACGTCACTCATTGTCGTAGTCAGAGATATTATGGTTCATTTACTCTAGCAGGAAATTTCTGAACCAAGATTCTGATACTAGCAAAAATTATCATATGTAGTACTTCATGCTTATAAATTTCTGCCAGTCATGTTGCAATCCAAAGAATATAATTTTCACTAAGTAATATGTTCCAACCATTATTATTACTCGTACAACCAAGTCATAAGAGGTGAAGACGATAAAGACATAATTAACTGGATCCTTGAAGTATACGTAAATAAAATTTGCATGCTAAATAACTTTTTTAACTATAGATATACTGAACTATTAATTTTACTCTAGGTAATTATTCCGGTATGCCTAAACGGACTGATAATTTGAGACCTAATTAATTGTCGAACATTTCGAGGAAACGTCTTCTATATTATCAGAAAGACAAACGCCTACTTATGAGTAATTAGCTCTAAACTTCTAACCGAGACACCAAGATCTATGGAGTCTACTACATCAACAATTGAGAAAAAAACTCGACAAACTTTATAGCTACATTAATTTGGTTACAATATTCTCATCAATTGAATATAAGGATTTTCAAATAGTTCTAGGTTTATATCAATTCTACCGATTATCTTATTCAATGACAAAGATTATTAATTATTAACTACTTATCATTATTATATACATATATATATTCAGTGTATTATTTTTTTTCTTTACTTCACATCAAGATTAATTAGGAAAAACAAAACTTGTTAATTAAACTTGTCATTATTAATTTACTAAGAGATCATTGATAATTATGGGTTTTTTTTCAATCTTTTATTTTATTGATTAACAATTATTCTATCATTTAAGATATACATTCAATGAAATAACATAAATGAATATGTTGTACAATGGTTCATATCGTTGCTAATAATTAATACCTGGATTAGTTTCCTTTTTTTTTCTTTTAAGTGATTAATTGTTCAACTTTTTATTATTGTTTGTTTGTTTGCTTGCTTATTTGTGGATACATTATTCATCAATCTACATACGTAACACTACTATGAACTGCTATTAACTTATCAGAGTATCTGATAAATGAATTCAGAAAATATTGAATAGTTATATTGTGTTACACCATTTATATATAAATTTTAATATTGCAAGATAAATTGACTGTATATTAAACTGATGAATAAATGGAAATAATATCTAATAGTTGAATTCGTAAGTAGATTAAAGCTAGATAACCATGGTAAACCTGTTAGCATTAGACGACCGTCTCGTCTTAATATAGAACTCCTCAGTGGCGCGCATTAACGATCTCGCCGCACGAGATTTGAACTCAAGAACGATAGGTTCCAGGTGCCGGCTCAGCGGTCTGGAGGTTAGGCGCGGGACCAGCAACTCCTGGGTTCAAATCTTACGAGGCGGGAGCATGGATGCGCACTGTTGAGGAAACCCATACTAAGACGAAACGGCCATCTAGTGTTTCCAGGTTTTCCATGGTGGTCTAGCTTTAGCCTACTCATGAATTCACCTATTAAATTACTAAAATCTCCACAAAATCCCTTTCAGGGAATAATATCATTTAGTCTAAGTGCATGTAATACGTTTTTTTATCATCTTCTGTATAATTTACCCTAATACTCAACAGTTACAGATGTAAAAATATTACGTAAAGTGTTTTAAAATGATAGCAGTTCGCTGTCCATAAAATTTCCCTGGGTTCTAGAAATTATCATGAAAATAAAAATACTAGTAAATCCTCTGATTGAAATTATGGAACTATAGTACTTAAAAATTAAAACTAAGTATTGATTTTCCAAATAAAGAAATATCAAAAACTAAGAAGCACAGAAACGTTGTTAAACATTTTGAATATGTGAACCACTAGTTGACAGCTTATTAGCCTTAACGTTAGACACTCGTCATAAGATCCTGAGTTCTACCTTTAGTGTGGTTGTAGATGTGTACTACTATAGGCTCCCATATCAGAACGAAACAGTCGATTAGAGCTTCTCTGACTTCAACTAAAACGTTGACACGTAAATCTACTAGGAGCATAGTTTAAACTGATATCTAATATTCAATTTCACTGAAAAAAATGCATCCCTCTGTATTACAGAGTGATATATTCCATCTGGTTTAGTTAGTTAAATACATTTTTATTCGAATTTTTTTATATTTAGTACGCAAAAGATATCCTCATAATTCATTTGAACAAATCGAAGTAAATACAAAACTTAGAAAACTTTTATCAATATTTTGGAAATTAAATCCTTCTCAGAAAAACTATGATAATTTACACGATCAACATGCACAAAATGATGTGGCATCCAGAGTTCGAGCGAAATATGGAACACAGAATATAAGTCAAGAGAAAGGTAATTTTATTAATTATTTGTTGTTATTACTTTTGGTGTATTACAAATCTGTTGTTCAGTTAACTGATATATTTATTCCTTTTTAATTAAAACATTATTATCATATGCGTTTTGTGGGTATTATAGTAATTTCAATGGTTAAGACCATCAGTCAGTTGAAGCTAGACCACCATAAAGTCTTGCGGCGGTTTCATCCCATTGTGGGGCTCCTCAGCAGTGCGCATCCACGACCTCGCCGCCTGCGAGATTCGAACCCAAGACCTACCGGTCTCGCGCGTGAGCACTTAACCACTAGACCACTGGGCAGGCATCCACTGATGTTAATGTCTAACTTCAACTAATCCATGAAATTGAGCAACACATCTACCATTGTCTTCAGTGAGTTGACATGTCACAACAGACCTGGTTGAACTCCACTGGTCACTACTTCTTACTAGAACTCCGAGATATACCTCTTGAAACCAGTCACTAGTGAGCTCATGTTGGTTAATTTCAGATGAGTTTTGTGAATATTATAGTAATTTCAATGGTTGAGATCATGAGTCTGGCAAGGGTTGAGGTCGTGGATGCCCACTGCTGAGGAGTCCCACAATGGGATGGAACGGTCGTCTAGTGCTTCCAAGTTTTCCATGGTGGTCTAGCTTCAACTGACTCGCGATCTTAACCATTGAAACTAATACATTATTATTAAAAATTCAAAAGTTATTTTAAGACGTTTTAAGTAATATCATGAATAAGTGTTATCGTATTTTATCACTGAATCATATATCTGCTATCATATTCCATTTTTAGCTAGGTTTAACTGCTAATAGTTAGTTGCACATGAATTTTAATGAACACTAAAATTAATTGGATTTCATTTTAAGTGGTTTTTCATTGAAAAAAATCATTTCTTAAATCTTAAAATTTTCTACCTGACCACAGATAATACGTTTCCATCGTAGCATTTCCAGTAGACGATCTAGTGCTTTCTTAAAGTTTCCAATGTTCATTGTAACGTATTTGTTACTAGTAAAATTAACCTATGCTTATACACTTGTTTTTAAAAATATTGGAGATAAACAATAAATTTAAATTAAAGTTATGGTTAGACCAATCGAAACGGTTAATTCCTGGTAACTCTTAGTATAGTGAACGAGAACAGAAGCGGGACAATCAAATGTATTTCAACACAGAATTACAGAATATATTGGTAAAATCTGAGAACCATATAGTAAATACGTCATTTGCAAAATGTCAATCAATTTTCTCAAACTTCATTGTTCTTTCATTTTCACAGTAATCATTCTCTGTTCATGTTTTCTTCTTTGTGATCTTAACCTCCTTCCGCTAGGTATTTCACTTCCGATTGATGATGCATACAACTTATATCTGTCGACATCAGTAGCACACACCAAAATAGTACCCCATTTTTAACAAACACGTGTAAATACATCAATATATTTATTACTTATTGAACATACTACCTAGGGATTTTTTCCATATCAACTTGTTATCAACATTTGACAAGACTGAAAACGTTTACAGTAGGTTATTCGCCAACAGCGTATTTAATGTTAATGAAATAGGCCGAACTTATGCCCGTTAATTTAGTGCGCGGAAGTTGCATATTTCATTTTAACGGGTTATTTTTATTAACAGATATCTGATAAAAACATTTGCTGTATAGCAAAGTCGCACTCTCCTGATGGAAAGCATAAACATAGTAAGCGTTTAGGCTTAAAACGGAATTGCTGATGAAAAGTATACTCTAATATGCAACTTTCTTCCATAAAAAAACCAAAACCAAAAAAGATGACAAAAATGCTGATCATGACTCGAATATTAATAAAAATGTTTCAAAGATTCTGAACCTGGCAAATCACACTCTATTGTCGTTATGCTAAACCTAAACACATAAAATGGTTATTTCTTGATTTTCATTTCTTTTCTGGTTATTTGTCCATTTTTCAGTAAATAAATCATATTCACTATTTTGAATAAATATTTTTCATAATAATGACAATTTTTCTATATTTTAATATACTTCACCAATCTACTTATTGTTCTACTATCTGTTACCTGAATAATTGTATTACCTAAAATTTAGTTTCTGTAACCCAGCTATCGGTTTGACCTTCTATTTCATTCTAAAAACTGTATTAATTAATTGATAATACAATCAAACTGACTTAGTATATTGAGTTATAACAACCATTTTGAAATAATAAAACAAACAAGTAATTCCAAATAAATATGACCAAATTATAAATCTATCAACAAACATTTAACCATGAATAAAAAAATGAACGCAAAAAAAGAAGAAAGAAAAAAAAGAAAATCTTTTCCTTTAAACTCAATTTATTAAATGAAAACAACCAACTTCCTCATCATTCAATCTAAATAATAAAAAAAATTTTCTTGAATTTTTTATCACCAACGATTTTTACACACAAAAAAGAATTTAACATAAATATGTGAACATCCCTTTTCTTAAAAACATTTTAATAAACAAGTAGATCTAAATAAAAGATTACCTATTTAGTCATTATTATCTAAACTAAATTATCTAATTGTAATGGGCATTTTTTTTTAAATAAATAAAAAAAACAACAAAGATGGTTACTATTTTAAAACTTTCTGTTCTATTCAGTTAACTAAAATACTCAATAAATAGGTTTAGTGTATTATTTAAATAAACTTGAACAAATTTACAATAATGATGTAGATCTTAGAAACTAGCCAATGAATAGTAAGAATAATTTTTTATTAGAATATTTTTCAGTTTAAAATTGTTTTATTAATTTATCAGTTATAATTAAACAGATTTTTTTTCTCATTCAAAAAATTAAATCAGTTTGTGTCGTTTGCAACAAACATCTTTGGTTTGTTACTGTGTGTTTTTTTATTTTGGCTTTAGTTTTGAAACATACATACACACACACACGCATATGCACAAAAGTAAATAAATAAACAGAAAATCACTTGTATATATATATATATATATATATATATATATATATATATATATATTGAAGGTTAACAACTATTTTATGATAAAATCTTTCCTTTGTGTGCGTGTGGGGAGGGAGTTGTAATGGTTTTCTTTGTTTTAAAAAAAGTAATCACAAAAATAATCAGAATAATCTAATAAGATTTGGCATATGTTTTCAATGTGTTTCATTCCTTATGATATTAATTCAATAAGAACAAAAAAAGCTTGTACGTGGTTAATAACAATAGAACTAAATTACATTAAAATAGATATTAATTTTATTAAATAAAGCCAGTGGGGAAGTCAAATTCACTTTTTTTTCTGGTTTTTATTAATGTAAACTAGTCTTCATTAATATATCAAATGAATGCAGCATAAATCCTGTAGTTTGTGTAATATTTTTGACGATGTTATATATCGGAAAGGATTTGGTGGATATTATAGTAATTTTGATAGTTGAGATCATGAGTTGATTGAAGCTAGATCACCTTGGAAAACCTGGAAGCACTGGACGGCTATTTTGTCGTAGTACGGGAATCCTCAGCAGTGCGTATTCACGATCCCGCCTCGTGAGTTTCAAACCCAGGACCTATCGGCCTCGCATGCAAACGCTTAACCTCTGGACCACTGAGCTGAGCCTGTTGTGGGATAGTAACTCACTAAAAACAAAAGTGGATGTGTCGTCTAGTTTCGTGGATTAGTTGAAGTTAGACATGAACGTCGGCTCATTATCCCGACTATTAAAATTATGTTATATATCTTTGTTAATTCATCACTAGACAGAATTGGACAGATAAATTACTTTTCAATGGTTTACAGTGAAAATGATTGTCCTGATATACAAAATCTTAAAATTATCTCAGTAATCATTAGTTACGCTTCGACTAATTAATAGCTCCAAGATGAATTGACCAAAGTGACGAAAATCAGCGAATCAACTAAATGGTATATAACACAGTAGTTCGTGAACAGTACTGAAGCTGTAAAAACATGACGTATGCTCTTTACATTTAACAGCTTAATAATTTCATTTTCACCATAAGATTTCAATATTCTGTTATTTATGCGTTATGCATGTTCATGATTGTAGACCATCCAAACTATATTACAATAAACCAGTCAGCTTCAGTTTTTGATGGACTGTTAACTGATGTCAGTTCATGATAGAAATTATCGTTAAGCAACACTGAAATGTTATTCATTGAAATGCTTAAGTTTCTCTCATAAATTAAAGTTTTCTACCTGTAAAAAGTAATTCAATAACTCATGTTTATTTTATATTTTTATTTGATATAGATCATGAACTTAAATCAGTGGATATTATCAATAAATTTTTCTCAAAAGAAAATGAAGTGAAATTCAACTTATTAGAAACACAAAATCCTCGTATGAGGGCTCGAACTATTAAAAATTCCAACTCATACTTATGTGTTTCTCAGATATTTTTGTATTTTTCAATCATTTTGCAAATAATTTTGGCGGTTAAATAAAGTGTTTTTAAAAACTAGCTATAACAATTTATAAAATAATAAAGTAAATAAAACAAACTATCAAAAAAGAATACAAACACCTCTTTGAAGTTTTTGTCCATTGAATCATGCTTTAAAAAACAGCAATTAACATAATAAAACACATAAATAAACAGAACCTCCTAATATGTATCCGTATTCTAAATATTATGTACATAACTAAGAGCAAAACTCTAAAAAACATAATATATCTTTCATTATATTGTTTCACCAGTTTCGTTTCATGTCTCCGTTATTTATTTGTTCGATTTCAACTTTCTTACATAATCATAAAAAGATAAATATTCAAATCATTATGAATTTCAATCAAAGGAATTATTCAATTATCCACATACAGATTTATTTAAGATATAATTATTATAAGAAATTATTTTATCTACCAGATCATTAATTGAAAAATCTTGTCACAGATTTATGCTCTCGTTTGTTTGTCTGTTTGTTTGTTTTTTTTTTGTGGCAAAACAATCGAACACATTTTTTTGTCTATAAAACATATAAACATTTAAGATTATTGAATGTCCTTTGTATATATAAAGAAGCTTAAAAAGGAGATTATATACTGGCTTTCTTTTTCAGATACATCTGTATACTTATATATATTCATTTAAAGTGGTTTTCATTCATTAATTAGTAATGTTATATTGTTAAACGTTTCTATCCGAAATACCTCATTGTGTTGTTTTGAATTTCTACTGATTGAGTGGAATTTTTTTCAATCATAAATAAAGCATAATAATTTGTAGGTATCATTACCAAGAATTGACTTGATAATTTCAAATGAATAGATTTCAATAAGTAGGAAGAATTAGATTTTCTGAAGTTTCGTGACTTAGTGTTAGCCACTTCTTCAGAGAATATTTGAAATACATATATATTCTTTCGACGCTGTTCAATGTAAATCATATAATCATTATTTAACATGTATGTAAATAAGTAAGCTCTTTTATCTCATTATATATATATATATATATATATATATATATATATATATAAGCTATCATTTTCAACTTGGATTAAAAATACTTATTATGTACCTGTGAATAAACTTACTAAATTCATATTTGACAATGTCAATACTTGATGTTGTTTCATTTTTGTAATGATATTTATAGATTACAATATTTTATTGTTATTCAACTCATTAAACAACCAACTAATCATATCACCTAAAGTGAAGAAGAAGAAAGAAAGGAAAACACTACAAATGTACTTTTGTTTAATTTACTTGTTGAATTCTCTTTTATTTTTTTCTTATAAATCTCTTTACAAGTATACACTTGATTTAAAAGAATACGTAATCAGTTGTAATAAGTGAATCTATAAGCGGATATTTTATGGAAGAAATATTTTTTCATCAAGGTTTCAATGAAAGTAAACTTTAATTACCGAACATTCACAATAAATCGAATTCATGGGTAAATGATCATGTAAAGGAAATATAAATGGAAAAATTTGAAAATCAATTTTTGAGTAATAAACGATTTCAGGTTGAATTCGTCTGCCTATAAAATTAGTTTTCTTAAATTCAGTATAATTACATTTGAAAAATATAAGGTGAAATGACTAAATTAAATCAATCTCTATGTATAACTGTTCTATAATAGTGAATAATACCTTTAATTTAAAGGATAACAGTGTCATCTATTTGACAAGTTAAGAAAAAGAACGAAAAATATGTCGTTTATTTCACTGCTATTTTACATTTAAAAATTCAAAATATTGCCTTATCTTTTTTAAAGAAACACATTTCATATCACACTGTTTTGTTGGACGGTGGACTAAATCTAATACTGATATACTTGCTTTCCAGACTCAAGTCCAATCGGCTATTTGACTACAAAAAGGAAAAATGGGTATAGAGCTTTACTTAATTATCCTGAATCTAATATATGAACAAATTCACTCATAAATATATACGTTCATCTTCCTCACAAAATCAGGACAGATTTTAAGCTAATAGCCTTTATACATTCCCTTAGAAAGTAAGGCCAAGTCTTGATCAATTGTACACACATGTCAGTATCTATAATCTATCATACAGCATTGAGTTAATACAACTGATTGACCAAGCTCATTACACTTTACATGCATCATATAATCAACTATATGTTTTTAGAGACAAAATTTACTTTCATATACGAGGAGATAAAAAAAGAAGACGACAACCATAACTAAAAAAATAAAGAACATAATTTATCGAATAAAAATCAAATGAAAAATTTATGATAAACAAATAAATTATTGATAAATAAAAGAGGAATTGAAGTTTATGCACGCGTATGTGTGAATAAGTAAACTAGTTACTAATATAACATTTTTTCTGAAAATTATTTCCTATTTGTTATCTAAACTACGAAGTAAATATTACTCTACGAAAAGACTAATGAAGTGGAATGTAAAAATCAATAAAACAGAACTCATTACAACTTCAAAGATATATTTATATGTAATTACCTTCACATCTACACCGTTCCAAGTTGAAATTGAATGGTTCAATGGTTTGCCCTTCTACATTTGATCGAATATTTTCACAGTATTTGGGCGCCGAGTTGATATGAGACATTAAAAAGGAAAGAATGTGTACTCTTCCACTTAAAATTGTGGTACAAAGTAGTAAGAAATTGTTTTATAATTCTATCTGAAATACTTCTTACCATAAATATCTTTTCCAGTTTGTGAATTGAAACCTTGTCTAATTTTTCACATACAGTATACTAAAATCACACCATAAACATACGCTTCAAATGAAATACATTTCCTTGCTAAGAAAGTATCATCAATAAACATACATCTACATTATAATTCTATTTACATTATGGTACAGTTTTTTAAATCATCTATAAAAATTCAAAGGAAACAGTATTATCCAACAGATGAATGAGAAACAACTTAAGAAATATTCAGAAACGACAGTTTAGCATTTCGTTAAATTTCTGGTGGTGTGGATTGACCCGCAGTTGATACTTTGAATGAATTTTGATTGGTGTTAATTGACTTATGTACATAATGTGTAGAATGCTTGAATGTGGCCATTGTCATACTATTATACAGAATAGATAGAATGTAGCTAAAAGTGAAATCAAGGACGCGTGTTTCGTCCTATATAGATATTGATAACTGCAATTAGATCTCATTCCCCCAACATTTTCAACTACTTTATATTATATCTTCATGTCTGACTTAAATATGAATAAGACTGTAAGCAACTGAAAAGAATTTATGAAATATACTATTCCCCTTAATTGTTGTTCTTGTTTTGTTCATATTTGGATAAATTGGACTGGGAAGTAAAAGACAAGTTAAAAAGAAACCTAATGAATATATGCAATTCACAATATCGACAGATTGAATACTTCAACAAATAATTATAATCATGTTACTGAATTGTAAATTTCCTGTTTTCTAAGAAGCACATAATTGATAACCATTTAAAAGCTGCATAATAAATACCCTAGCGTTAATTCTAATATAACATTTACTATGACAAATACCTTTCAGACAAAGTTTGACACTTCTTCAGCAACACCTTTCAATGTTTGTTTTGTTACGTCTTAACAACCAGTTTGCGATAATCTCTTCAAAATTCAAGTAAATTCTAAAATCTACATGTAGAATGTTTTGCCTTTATAGATAACTTTAAAATACTCTGTCTTGTTTTTTTTTGTTCAGTCTTATAAGAAAAAATATGAATATTTTGAGATTTGGTAAAATGTCATCCTTATATGCATAGCAACTAAAAAAAATGTTCCCAACACTTTTTTCTTACATACATGTAAAAACTATATAATATAAACTAATTCAAAAGTATAACGTAACCATTACTAAAAGTCACAATGATTCGTCCAAAATACAATGATCTTTTTTAACTTTAGTTTTTATATACTCTAAACTTATATCCGCATTCTGAGTGGCAAATTTTTATAACTAAATTAAAAAAACTTTGATTTTAGCAACCTTAATAAAAGTAAATGCAGACATAATGTAAAGTTAATTAAATTAAATAGTAAAACAAATGAAAATTATATTCCCATGAGGACTTTGTAACAATTATTAGGTTTTATATTGTACATAACCAAATGATTTTAGTTAGACAACTATTGAATACCGGCAAGAAATCACTAATTGAAGTTAAAAATTCGAACAACTAGAGACTAACTCAATGGTATAAAGATTAAAAAGCTGCCACAATCCCTAATGGTTCTAAATTTGATTTATAATTAGACACTTTGGAAGAGTCCCACTCCCTAATGAAACAACTGTTCAGTGCTTCTTTGTTTTCATTATTTGTTTAATTAAGGTTAAGTCATAATGTGAACTGTGAAAAGAATGTTTGTTTATTTTTAATTTTACTGAAACAAATTATTGTAGTGAAGCTGAAAGAACAACGAATTTTTTCAATCACAAAATATATTGAACAACTGGGTATGTGGAAATTTATCTCGATTAAATATGTAAAACTATACCATTTAAAAGAGATGCAAGTTAGCCTATATAAAGTGCTTTTTAGTCGTTAGTGGCATTTTAATCTTATCATTCTGTTACGTTCATGATTTCTAAGAACAATGATCATGTATCAATACGGTTTATACATGTAGCTAGAACGTATTACTTTGGACGTACATAATATGTTAAGATCTATTAAAAGTATTCAGGAAATCAACACATTTCGACAGATACTTAGATTTTGATTCAGCTCATGCACAGTACACAAAAGTCAATGTTGTAAAAAAATTTAATGAACAGAAGTACTAAGCTTTTTACAGATAAGGAAGACCAACGAACTGAAGTGAATAAAGTATTTTCTACTCTTAGAGATAACAACTACCCAAAACAGTTTTTAAAGAAGATTGTTAAAAATGAGAGAAAAATTAAACTAGAATGTATACGAAAAGTTTGGAAGTACACCGTAGTCATCCAATACTGTAGTGAAACATCGGAAAAAATCAAGCGGATTCTAAAAAAACATGATATAAGAGTGCATTTGCGGGCGAGTAGCACCTTAAGATCGACATTAGTGAAAGTTAAGAACAGGTTACCAGAGGAAAAACAACAGAATATTGTCTATGAGATCAACTGTCATGATTGTAATGCAGCTTATGTTGGAGAAACATCCAGATAATTGAATGTAAGGTTGAAGGAACACAAACAATGTTTGAAAAATGTTCCCAAACCCTCGGTTGATTTGAAGAAACATGAGAATAAGTCTGCGATAGCGTTACATGCGTTAAAAACAAGACATAAGATTAATTTTGAAGGGACCAAAATACTTCAGAAAGGTTTTAACACTCATAAGGAAAGATTGACATCAGAAGCGCTGTATATATGGGCGAACAATAACAGCCTGAACAAAAAGGATGGTTTTCAACTAGCGACGACCTGACAGATATTCGTTTACAAGTGATTTGAACCCTCTCTTTATTCAACCTGTTTACTTCACATTCATCGTTATTTTGACTGAAATCAATGTTTTTAGCAATACAACTATGTATTTGACAGATAATTCCCATTTAAAAATTAAAATTAAAACACGAAGTTCAGCGCAGGGGTCTCTTTTCAACGAATTTAATTTAACTCAACAACTTTGTGTACAAAATAACGATTGAAATAAAAGCTTGTTTGTGTTTTGCTTTTGAGGCGTTTAAAACAAATGATTGTTTACCGTTTGTATGCTACTACACCTTTGAAATAAATAAAAAATATTGAAAAATACGCATTGAGATATAGCCAAATAACGGTATATTGAGTGATGTAGATCACTTTAAATTCATTTGCAAAATTATTTAATCTTCATTCTGTGAAAACAACAACATTTTGTACATCATGTAATGCCCACTGCTGATAATTCACTGCACTTATCGGTTTTTTTAATAATCACTTAGTTAATTCGATAGTACGAAAA